ATTTTTTCTCTCATACAACCATCTTAATCCTACAACCATAGGTAGGCTATCCTTAAGGAAGGTTTTCAGCGTGTTTAAAAAGAACTGAATTTCATTTTTTTTGACTCCAGCATTGATGAAATCCACTATTTACAGGGTTATGATTCCACACTTCAAACAACATCCTAGTAACACTGATACTATGACTTTTTGCTTCTGAGAAATTTATTTAATGTGTCATTGCTATATATCGGTTTTTTCCCAATGTCTGCTTATAATTACGCCTTACTGAATAGGAACCACTTGCCGGTTGTCTTTTTTTTTCAGTAATGAACTTTATATTAACCTATCTGGAAAACATTTGAATCTGCCGCGCTGACAGTGGGGCTTGTGTTCACTATTGTGTTTGATTACCTTGTCACTTATGAGCATACAGATTTTACTACGTTGTCTTAAATACAAATGCAGTGAATAACGAAAATTGAACTAGGTGTGAAAATGTAAACCTAACAAATTCCTATAAGTATAAAATTTGAGCACTGTGGTGGAGTACTGTAATACTGTAATATTAACAATAGTTTGTGCTCGAAACATGGTCATCAGTTAATATTACTTACTGTGTTTGATTATAACACTGTGTGGTTTATCAAAATAAAATCTTATCCATAATAGAGTGACAAATTCCTGTCGAAGACTAGTCAGCTGGGAATCTTTTGACCTGCATAAATCAGACTGACTAGTGTGTAAGCATAAAAGCCCACGAAATCTTGTACGTTCCAGTTTGTTTAGTAGAAAGTTTCAACAGTGTTCTAATTTCCTCCTTAGCATTACATAACTCAGCTGACTCACTACAATGGAAGCTTAATCAACATGTAGACGTTAAGAGTCACCACTGGCTATATGTGACAATGAGGTACTGCTTCACTACGCAAACTATTTGTAGATTATGAAAGCCATTGAGTAAGATGGTGTATTAAATAACCTTGATTGGGCAGTAAGGACGAAGATTGTACTTCTTGAATTATATATATATATATATATATATATATAATTTTTATTTTGATTACAGCTTGATTCCACACAGTTCTTTTTGGTAGAAGTATGGAATTTTCAGCATGTGATGTCGGTAGCCAGACTATTGATATCAGATGTGCGTCGGCAGGGGATCGAACCCCAGACCATGCGCATGGTCGGCAACAGTCCTAACCACTGTGCCACCGACGCACTTGATTCTGTCTCAGTGACTGAATGGTGAGCGAATTCGCTTTGTAACCTGAAGGCACTGCGTTCAATCCGCCTACGCAAAGTCTGCTGTGACTGGTTGTTGAATCAGTCTTTGTTCTTATTTTTCTCACGACCAATATAGGGGACGTAAACACTGACGTAAATTATTGGCTATCGACTTTGGCTAGCAGCCAGCTCTCACCATATATATATATATATATATATATATCATGCCTTATGTTTCCAGTGGAACATAGGGCTTCAAGTCTTAGGATTTCAGTAAAGGTGTTTTTCCACGATGTGTACTTGCTAACCTCATACACTCAACCTTTCATTCTTCCCAAGCTCACGACTGGCTGGTTAACAAGTTGGGGCTTAGTAGTTTGTTAGTCTGCAATCGAACATCAAGTCATGTACGTGGCTGAAGAGGATTCTACCGTTGAGCCACTAACGCATTCCTAAAACTCTCCAAAATTAGGCGATAAGGTTGATAAAGAGGTAGCGTTATGTGTAATGCTAGTCACCCCCCATTTAATACTGAAACTTCACAGCTCAAGCTTAAATCCTGATATCTCAATTGAAACGGCAGTGAATGAAGAAAAGAAGAAAGAATACTCTATTGCAAAAAAAAACAAAACAATAAATTATCACTTGAGCATATATATATAAAACAATCTGAGTTGATGCAAGCAATTAACAATGCCTTATATTTTTACTCATCTATATGCATTTACTAGGACTCTCTATTCCTAATGTTATAGAATGTTTCTTATTAAGTCTACCTAGATTATATATAGAATTACTCCAAATAAACGAACAAATTGCTTTCGGTGTTGAAGAAAACAACAACCTCTCATTTGAAACAGTTTATTCGATAGAATCAATAATTCAGTTCGTGTTTTGATTTACGGCGGACATCTTGCTTCAAATTAAATTCTTTTGCGATTTTTTAGAAATCTTAACATTTGTTATATATATATATATATATATATATATATATATATATATATCAAAAGAATGTTCACCTGTCAGGTGACTTGTTGGTATCTCTATCTGTTTCAGGTCACTATCACTAAAATGCTTTTCTAGTTAGTGGATAATATCTATAATTACCAACTACAAAATCTTAATTCCATATTAGATTGTTTGTCAGATGTATCAGACAGTGAAACAGTATTATTTACTGGATGACGTTTCGAACAAAATTTCTTGTTCATAATCATTTCATCAGTTATAATCACACGACTTCGAAACTTGAATTGTATAGCTTTCTTTGTTCTCCCCTCTATTTGTCGTTGTAGGCATGGTAGTAGACTTTTCCAGATATCTGGGTGGATAGGTGTTGAATCATTCCTATTCCTACTCTGACCCGTACATTTGACTTGAAGATCATCGCAGGCAGGTTATTTTAGATAAACTGAATTGTTTTGTTTTAAAGGCTCCACTGTCAGGATTGATTCTTTAACCGACAAAGCTTGTTTCTAATTGAGTTTGTGAGTAATTTGAAAAAGCCAGCTACTTTTATTCTTGCCAGCATTGTTAAGAACTCTGCATAAGGTCTCTGAAGTTCCTTCCTTGTAGAAGGGGGGCAGTCAGTCAGACTAACCGAACATAAAAACCTACCAGGAAATTCTAGATTGGTTGACCCGAATCAGATAAGAAATCTAGAGAATAGTTCAGCCGTAGATAGCACTCTCACTACATGCAATTACACACAACCATGCAATATACGATGGATGGGATAAGATGACAGTGTTTCTGAATCTAATGTCACACGGTGTAGGGAGGGAGGGAGAGATTGATAACAGAAGCTTGTCTATCGAATCAACTGGGATAGAATACGTTTAACAGGAATGACCCAACATCTATCCATCCATATATCTGAAAATTCTACCACCACGCCTATGACGGCAAATAGGAGTGGACAAAGAAAACAATCCAGCTCAGAGAACACAACGACATCAAAATCATCCACCTGAGCTACAAGTCTTCTCTATCATATGCAAAGAAAACTATAAAACTCAAGTTTCGAAGTCGTGTGATTATAATTGATGAAGTGATTATAAAGAATAAATTGTATTGTCATTGTAGTAAATAATAATACTGTTTCACTCACAGTGTGATACACCTGATAAACAAACCGATATGGAATTATATACTGCCACAGTGCCCAAGTTTAACACATAAAATCTTTCTTCATCTGACATACTACGTAGCTGTATCCCCTTAAGTAGTATAGATAGTATACCTCGTGGAAAAAGCTGTATGCCTGCTGCTGGTATTTGTTCAAAATATCTGGTGTCTGTTAACATGTCAGCGCCTATCATGGGAGCTTCAACGATGTCTGCAGGTGGCTCACAGTGGAATCTACGATGCGCATTTCTTCCTATCTAGGACTTGCCTTCTGTATGTACTTTTTTTTGTACCTGCATCCATGGTGAATTGAGCATAAATCCTTCATGTGGGACTATATAATGCAGCACCCATATGTTCAAACTCCAGGGCGTTATGCATTAGACCATTGGGCGAAGACAGGCACTCCTTTTTGCAATGAGTGTCACTTATCAGGTGTGTTAAGTTTGAATATGTCGTCTGTCCTGAATGTGAGACTAGCATAAATACGCAAAACACTGATGTCTAGTTTTTGTATAAACAGTGGTCTTACGTTAAATGAATATAATAAAATGCTGTTAATTAAATGTTGAAAAATGTAAAGAATGACTAAGTACATTTTCACACAAATATTAATTAATCTCTAGTGTTATATTCTGAAGGTCAGTCGAAGGAAGCATTACTCATCTCTGCCACCCTCACATTTTTCTGAAGTTTGCATTACTCTGTTGAGTCTACGTTTGTACTGAAAAGTTTAAACTCTTCACTTTATTTTAATACGACAGAATTTTGTAATGTAGCTAATGGTATTGGCAAAGTTAAACTTTAAGCACCACCAACTACCGATCAACGAACGACCTTAAACGTACCAATCACATGAAGGAGACATTTTTGGCTTATGGAAAACATATATTTATGCAAAAAATGCATAAAAACGGTCTAAAAATGTTTCATAGGATACCTTTCTCTGACATGTGGTAAAAACATCTCCCGGTTGAGCATAGGAGTATCAACTGGAAAGCTACACCTTATTCTGTAAATAAATTTATTTAAATGACTATAAATGACATCCTTTTGAGGTCGATTAATGGCCCTGATCCTGCTTTTAACCTTCCCCAAAAGCCTCCTATAGGATTGATGTGTGTCTCTTCAATGGGATCGACAAAGCACTTATCTATCACCCTACCAGGAATCGAACTCATCAAGTAAGGTATAAGGACAAATCCTCACCGATGGTACTGGCTAGTGGTGGCGCCATATGTCGTGTATCGACAGAGGTCAGAAATGATGGATCACTGAATCCTGTCCCAGTGGCTGAATGGTTTACGAAGTTGTCACATTGATTAGACTAGAAGGATCGTCAATCTATTTTACCTTGTATAAAAGTGTCACTGGCTTTATCACTATTCGTTGGCAATGTATCACTTACCTTTAATTAGCCAAGCTCGTACGACACAGGGAAGACTAGTCCAGTGTTGTCAAATCCAGACAATACTCAGTTATCGCCTCCAAATCATAATTACAAGGAGATCATGCTCTGGAAAAACTGACTTCACACTTCCATAGTTGTAATTTTGAAAAAAAATGTTGTTCCTGTTTTAAGTTTGAACTCTATGCTTTTTTTTTAAATTCAGTGTTCATTCTTCGCGTCTAATCATATTCGTATTTACCCTTTTTCCTCCTAGATGTCCTCAGGATTACATCGGTGACTATTGCCAATTTTATGCTGGTAAGTTTTTAATTTTGGAAATCAATATATCCTACGCTTCATGAGGGCTAACTGAGGTGTACAGTCAGATGATTTTTTTATGAGGCATTAATCGATTTCACCGCTTGGACCTATAAGGTTACTGAAAGTTAGATAAAAGCAACCGGACAATTGATAATAACTAGTACCTTCGTATCAGAGATGACTTACAACCAACCGACCGCCTACTGAGGAGTCTAAAAGACTTTTCATCGTCTGTCATACTGTTTCACTAATTGACAATGGGTGGAATTGTCCTTTATCTGTGTGCAATTTATAACTAAATTAAATTTGTAATGCAGTCTAACTTGACCTTCATTTTTGTCTGTTAAGGGTTGGCAAGTTGCTTAAAGGAGAGAAGTCGCGCATTCTATTTTGATACTTTAAACTAGATTATCTAAGAGAGTAAATGACATCTAACCGTCATTAACACTTCACTTATGATAAATATAAGGATGACGTCTACACAATTCAATAATTTGTAGATAAGTCTCGCATTTAAAAGAGTCCTTGTTTATCAATAACTATCAACTTTCCAGAAAACTTGAAAACACGTAATCTTCTAGTCACATACACTATGCTTGGCATTACTCACGTGGGTGTACGATGGAAATAAAGTCTAGTGTAGCTCAATAAACCCATCCAACCGCCTATGTGCTACTGGTCTGGAGTACCTTTTTGATTCCGCTACGATAGCTAGAGAACGCTAGAAAATAATCTACACTAAAGTGTTTAGTGACAACAGCAAGTCCATTCTGACTGGTGCATCATATTCAGTGTACTTACAACAGAAAGGTCAATGAACACAGGTTTAAGAAAACACTTCAATAAAAACTACTTCTCAAACTATTTTGAAATAAGTACGGCTTTCAATGAAATTCATGAATAATTCCCGTCCACTATGTGTTTTGTGTAGACAAAACACATAGTTCACTGAAGAGACTCTTCTCGGCCAACTTATCTTCCTCTTCAACTGTACTACTGTGGTGAGGGCTGGCTGCTAGCCAAATTGGTAGACAGAAATTTACGTCAATGTTTACGTCCCCAATATCGGTCGTGAGAAAAATGAGAACAAAGACTGATTCAACAACCAACCATTTCAGACTTTGCGTAGGCGGATACAGTTAACATGTAGATGACCTGACATTCAAGAAACAGCCACAGAGAGATGAAAGATTAAATTTCAGTCAGAAACAACCACCAATCAGAGGACTGTGTTTTTGTGCTAACACTAATCTACATTAATGTACGTAAAAATCTATAAATAAGTGTTGATTTCGTAAATAAAGGATCTGTTGACTGGCCCTTGTCTTCTGTTGTTATACAAAACATTTATATACAATTCTTCTTCTCCAATGAATGTCGGTAGTAACAAAAGTGATGAGTTGTCACAAAAATAGTTGTTAATATTACTGGTCAATAGATGAGAAGAGTTGAATAAGTGTATTAGAGTTACGTAATACGATGAACAATTTAATGAATGAGTTGTAGTCAGGATGCTAATAGAAACGAAGAAAAATATGGAATTATGTGAGGATTGTGAACAGATACAACAGGAGGAGTGAGGAGTCATAAAAACAAACTAATGGACAAACAGAAATCAAGTTCGCAGAAATCAACAAGGTAAATACTGCAATAGGATCTCTCTTAGATCCATCACTAGCAGAATGTTTCATGGCTAGCCTTCAGAAGGCTCCATCAAAGTTGACCAGTGACAATGTATAACTGTATAAAAGGTACGCAGATGACATTTTCATCCTTTACGACACTAGTTACGAGCCAGTCCAATCGATGCAAGTATTTAAACAACTAACACCGTCCGGCAATAAAATTCACTCGAATAATGGATAATGAATCCCAAATTCTCTCTCCTGATGTGCAACTAACAAGATGATGCGGTGGGACCTTAAGAAAGTCAGTCTGTAAAAAACCGACTTGAAAGGTCAACTAACAAGTTTCTACAGTTGAATGCCTCTTGAACGAGGACGAAATCTAATTAAATCTCTTGCCTATCAGATTCAGAACTAGATCTTATGGAAGAAAACTTCATCCGAAATGGATACCCATCAAAGTTCATCGACAAGCATATTAAACCAAAAGTCCACAGGGACGAAATGTCACTTGTTTCAAAAAAGAAATTTTACACGAACCTTGATTTCAAAGGAAACTTACCCTGATATTTCCTTAGAAGAAGAATTTCAGCATCTTTGAGAAAAACATTCTTCGCAGCAACTCTAAGAGTAGTGTTCTGCAGTCGCCGATTGTTATGCAGAGGCCTTAAGGACAACATCTCTCATCTGACCTCTTCTATGTGTGTATATCAACTCACCTATTGTTGTAGTACCAGGTACATTGGTCGTTCGACATGTATCCTGCATAAAACGGTTCAAGGGGACTTATTGTTCCGCATAGTAGTAGTGGTTTTATAAGGAGCGTGATATTTGAACACCTTGTTAGCACTGGTCATTCCGGCGTAACAAACCCCTCTTCAAAATAATCCTACAAAGTGAAGAATCACCCGCCAAAATGCAATGTGCTTTCGAGTCCTTTACATTGTCATAGTCTTAGCCATTTAGTTAGATTACAACTCATTCATTAGGTTGTTCATCGTATTACGTAACTCTAATACACTTATTCAACTCTTCTCATCTATTGACCAGTAATATTAACAACTATTTTTGTGACAACTCATCACTTTTGTTACTACAGACATTCATGTGAGAAGAATTGTATGCAAATGTGATTTTACAGTTGAAGAGGAAGATGAGTTGGCCGAGAAGAGTTTCTTCACTGAACTATGTGTTTTCTTTCCATTAAGTTTCATAAACTTTTATTTAATTGAATTTCGATAACTTTGCATGTTATAATTTATTATTCTTTGGATAGGAGGTATTAGTTAACTTTCAGCTCTAGAAAGTGGATTTGGCAGAAGAAACGTATCTACCTAAGCTTTCATACATTCTACTATTCAACAATGTACACCTCTGATGATATTAGATAGTTGGAGGCAATCGGCCACAAGAAGCCTTGGACCTAGGTGTCGTGCTAGTTGCCAGTCACCAGTCAGGAAGGCGTATATCTGCAACCTTGAAGGAACTCATGTCCCTTCTGATGTTCGGACCCGTGTCACCCAGTGCTGCGGTCAGAGACGTTACCGCTAAGCTATTTGGGCTCTCGATTGACTTCCTGTAGGACTGTAGTGGGCAGTTTGATTGGACACTAGTAACTCGTGTGATGTGTCCGGTCCATTCTTTGGTGCAGACTGAATTCTATCTATTCTATCCTACCAGCCCGTATAGCTCAGTGGTAACGTCTCTGACTGCACTACTCACTGGGTGACGCGGGTCCGAATCACAGAAGGGACATGAGTTCCTTCACAGTTGCAAACACGCCTTCCTGACTGGTGAGTGGCAACTAGCACGACATCTAGGTCCAAGGCTTCCTGTGGCTGATTGTTTCCAACCATCTAATATCATCAAATCAATGTGCACTATGATGGCGAACTACCTAGAATGGCGGCCACAATACAAACCTGACTGACAGAATTCAGTCTGCACCGAAGAAAGGACTAGACACGTCAAGCTAGTGACTAGTGTGCAATCGAAAATTACACCTCTGTTATATGGAAAATTTATCTGTCATATCTGCGTTGACGGTTCAACGGAAGAACGATAAACGACAACAAACATAGCCTAGATTTCGAACCCTGAAAGACGTATTCTTAGATCTCGCCTAGTAGACCAGGAAAAAATATCTCAGCAGTTCATGTTGTTACTGGACTGACTTATGACAGTGTATGACTCGTAACTCTTATCAGGTTGTTTTAGAAATGTTCAAGCCCTCAAAATGCTTGTCTGAAGCTTTCTGTAATGCAACTGTTAGTGCTAGATTGGTATGTTTCTCTTCTAGTGTTTAAGTAACAGCAATCCATGATTTGTGCCAAATAAAAGGCTGAATTGCTGTGATAATGAGGCATTTACACTTTCTCATCACGACTTTGAGAAGATTATAACTGCATAGATGTCTTCGCTAATATATGAGCACACTTCTTATACCCAAAACTTCTAACTTTAGTGGTTTTCATTTTTCTTCCGCTCTGATTTTGTCTACTTAACCCGTAATGATTTGATCCGATGTACTACTTGATTTATATCAATACGCCTTGAAAACTCAACTTTTCATCCATGTCATAAGCAAATTTTCTAAACCAGGTGTGTTGTTAACGCGTGCTTTGATGATGAGATTGCAAGAAAGGCTCGGGTAACGTGAACTGTTTACTTGCCTCATAGGTGTCAACATATTTCTATGATTGTTTAGAACTAATAAAATCTGGTTTTTGTTAATGGCAAAGTTCTAGAATAGGATTCCAAACGATGTGAACGCAAGGGTGACCTTGAGTCGACCAATCAGAAAAATGAGGGATTTTCGCCCATTCACCCATGTGTATGCTGTTGCCAGGCAAAACGGGCCTCTGAATAAAAGGCAGATTAGTGTCACCACTCCTGTCCGGAATAAGTTCAATAAATCCTTTCCGAATTTGGGTATCCTAAATTCCCGATACCGAAACGTTATTAGCTATAGCACCTTCGCGATTGTATTTCTTCTTTGTAAGCACCGTTTCATCGATGTGAACGACAACACTGACTTTTCCCAACACTTGTGTAATACTGTTGATTATCCATGATGCTAAATCTCGACGAAATTGAAACCACTGCACAGCAGACGTCAATGTATTTTCTGTTAACCTCACATCGGACTTCAAAATCCAGTAATAGCAAAGAAACACTATATTCTTCAAGGAAGGTTTCGATTTAGCATAGCGAGTTCCTAGAAGACAATTAACTAGGAGTATCACTTACCAGTACGAAGACTTGTTCCTTTCCTACACTCCGTACATCTAAACATATATCCATCAATGACCTCGGAATATGGTTGCAGGTCCATTGAAGCACCACAGCTACTTATACGAGAACGTCCTATCA